GACAACCCCCACACCATGACCCTGACAGATAAGTGGTAGGAGATTGATGGATGGTTTGGATTTTTACCTTCTGGGGAACCCTCTTGTTGTTTTTCCACTAACCTTTACCTCTGACACTGTAACAATTCTTCATCTGGTTTCTTAACTAAATGTTCAGTGTAAACTTTCTTTGTTTCTCCTCTGTCTTTCCCTGTCGGTTTTGCCAACACAGTGATAAATAATGAATCGCCCCAATAAGCTGTGCAGCAGGGACTTGGAGGCTTCATTTAGCTGCCACATAGTGTTGAGAGTCCCCCATCCTATTCTTCACAGCAATTAGAAAAGGGTCCAGGAAGTGCATCGCTTTTATGATCTTACAAAGACGTTAGAGACTCTACTGCACATACCCTTAACACTTCTGGGTTTACTAGTTCCACATTATCCAGTCTTTCTTTCAATCATCTCAAAACCTAACTTTAAAATGTAGTGAATTGCATTTTTCTGTCTCTGTTGCTTATCCCCCAGTCTGTAAATTACTGTCTGTAAAACCACTTCTGCTCCATTTTCTAAGAATCTTTTACTGATATCTCCAGTTTCAAAGTGAAGTGGCTTCAGAGACAATAAAACCTCTGTGCAAACACAAATGTTATCTAGTCTTCTGCTCTTTTAGGTTTTCATGCTCCTTAACTGGCCTTCTTGATTAAACCCACTGGAAAACATTGTGCTACATTCGCAGTTATTCGTAATTTTTTTTGTTTTTGTTCCATGAACAAGAAAATTTCCCTCAAAAATCATCCCATACATATAAATCTGTAAAAGAAAAAGCTTTTTATACACTGCAGCTTGAACCTTTTTAACCTAGTCTCTTTCTATCGAAATGAACGACAATAGAGATTAAATCTGCTTTTTGAGTCAAAGCTAGTATAGACAGATTTCTGTCTGCGGTTGAAATGCATCATGTCTTCAGAGAAAAAAAAGGTAAAGAGGAAAAGTCAGCAGCATGTCTGAATATTTTCTTGCATCCTCCACCTTTATCCTTCCTTTCTTCCCAGGACAACTCATGCATCCTTTGACAACTTCCTAAAACAATGGGATTGTTTATCATGGCGCAATTTACGTCTCCACTAATCCCAGGTGGTTGATACACAATACATCCATCAGAAGGATGATGAAAGAAGGCATTTCTTCCTCAAAGGAGTTCTAAACCACTTATATATAAAAAAAAAAGTCTTGTGTTGCTTGTATGATACAAACAGACACAACCATCGCTCAACTTCCTATAACCCTGCCAAACCATTTCATCATCTCCTGTATCTTTTTTTGTTGTTGTTTCTTACGTCTGTGGCTAGTAAAAAAAAAAAAAAAGATATGCTACTTTATGATTCCATTTCCTTACAAAAATGAATGCAATAAAAGAACATACTGTAAATAGGGATAAATGCTGGTTGCATATGATGAAATTATTAAAACGATATGAGGCTACAAATAAATATAAAGACAGAGCTGAAATAAGAATAAAATGAATTTAGACGCCCTGTAGAAGTTAAGAGGAAGACATGGAGAGCAAGAAGAGGCAGCCGAGCGTAACTATACTGGTTTGATATTGAATGAGTTAAGCTGAAATGAACAAGACCAGACGTGGAATTGAATTTGCTGTTTCTTCTACAGAACATGAGCTCGAGTTCAGTTTAGATTGAAAGTTGATGATGTAATACCTGAAGCTGAAAATTTATATAAGTCGTAGTAAAGTTTGGTAGGCTACAGTGAGCCTGCATAAAATGTCTAAATAATTTTCAAGAGAGTTTAAAAAAATACTTTTACACAAATTAAAAATAAATAAGCGCTATAATAAAGAAAGGTATAACTAGCTTCTATACTTTATTAAAACCTTGAGGGGGAAAATGGTGAATAATGGATGAATTTTTAACAAATAAAACCCCTTAAAATCTTTGAAGAAAAATCCCATCATTGCTGCTGTAGCCTGTGGGGGCGAGGGTTGAGGTGCAGGAGTGTTTTCATCAGTAGGGAGGGTGACAAGTATGGAGAAAAACAACATTGTCTTTGCCTCTTGCTGGATCTCCTCTTTAACAACCCCCCCATCTGTGTACCCTGGTGACCGTTCTGTCCATGCCTGCATGGAGGAAAATGATTTACTGCTGCTTTAAGCTTCACACAGAGAGTGAGAAGATTACTCACCGAGACGGCGCTCACATTGGGAAACACTCAAACACAGTTAAGACAATAAGGTGGCTCCTCTGCCAGCTTCATTCCTGTATTTCACCTTGTGGCTATGCTGTTCTCCAAACTAATGATTTATTCTCCTTCTCTACATCCAAGCATTGTTTGGCTCTTTATTCTCTGATGCAGGCTGAAAGAAAATTTCTTACTATATGAAATGGATACTCTGATCACAGGTGGAGTTTTTAAGCAGCAGGTTTCATTATTAGAATAATGGCTACTAAAATTTAACCGTGATTAAGAAATTTCCTCATAGGAAAACTTTTTTTTGCCTGCTTAATTAAGTTTCCATGGCCATAGGCCACTTCAAATAGAAGGGTTTTGCAATTTCCGTTGACTTTTCTGTCACTGTGGATTTAAAAATTAATCTCCTGGCATTGATTAAACCTTCAAAAAAACATTTCTGTTACTCAAAATTCCTTATCTTCAGTTTTTGCAGACAAAAATAATCCCCTCATGACTTAAAACAGCTTAGATGTACTTCAACACCTTCCTATCATTTATAATATGTGTATATATGAATATGTAAATCAGTCGCCGCCTCCACAGCTTTCCTAAGGTCGCTTCTACCTGCTCGACATAAACCCTGCTCAAAACTTTACGTGCAATATATAAGAGAAGGAGGGTGAAATATTCACCGCTGCCTTGAAGTAAGTTATTCAAAGTAGTGACCCGTTTTGTATTTTTTCCACAGGACAAATTGGGGTTGAAATTGCGTCTAACAAACCAGGAAACCTTTCCCACATATGAGGAACACTTGGGTTCAATTTGGTTGAAAAGCTGAAAATGTTATTTAGCTCAAGACGTAACTATTAACATTATTCCAATTCTTCATTAAAGATTATGTAATCCATTGTTTAATAATAATAAGTCAGTTGTTCACATATTGTTATTGACTATTGTTCTGTATTTAAGTAATATACATTTTTAAAGGGTCAATCAGTCAACACTTAAAGTTGCAATATCATATCAGAATAGGTCTGCAACTAACGATTAATTTGCAAATCGATTAATCTGTCAATAATTAATCAGATGGCCAAAGGTTCTCTTTAAATTGATTTTTTACAAAATTGAATCAGACAAAACTAAAACTTGGGGGGGTTCTGCATAGAGCATATTGGCAGAGGAAAAGCATTTTTTTTTATCTTAAATGCAAAATTTTTAGATATTTTCTTTAACAATTTTAATAAAATTACAGCTCTAAGTAGGTTGCCCTGACAGCTAAAACCATATTTTACAGTATCTATACTCCAAATAACGATTAATCAATTACTAAGTTAGTTGATTAGTTCATCCCTACATCAAAAATAAAAAAAAGTTGCATCAAAAAACCACTGGCAAATATTCACTTTGACTATTTTTGAATAATTTTTTAGTCTACAGCATTTTGGTTTTCGGTTAAAAATGTTGTAATGTTGATGGTGCATCAGTAGGAGATAGAAACGCAGATGTTAACAAAGATGAAACATTCTGATCCTCGATTAAATAAAGCCAGGCTCCAGATTAGTCTGAAAATGGTTGTAATTCTTGTGAGGCTAATTCCCCATGTCTTAGCTCCTTTGCTTTTGTTAGAAGTTTAATAGCAACAGAGTCAGCACAAAGTCAGAGAAACGTGTAAAAGTCACAGCTTGGTGCTTATTAGCCTCTTCAAGATTTCTTTCTTTTAAAACAAATTTCCAGATGTGCAGTTCATTGGAGTATTCCGCAAAACCGGACTTTTAGAATTATCCATTTTGAAATGCCTATTTAAAAAAAGTCAGTGACTGAACATCATTACTTTGAAAAACTCCCCATGTTTATGTCAACAATGCCCTAAACTAAAGCAGAGGAACAAAAACCAAACTATCTCTTTTTTTCTTTTAATAGCATCTTGTAGCTCTACACTGGCAACAAAAGGATTTATGAAAACATTTTAAATAATGCAAATGGTAAACAAACCTCAATAAGTTCTGAAGCTTCAGTCTTTGCTTCTTGGAGTTTCTGCATGATGTAGAAAGTGATATTCTAAACGCCAATAATCATGATACTTAACGATTTGCTAGTGCACTACAGTCAAGATAACAAATGCATTTGGAATCTTGGTACATTGAGTTCACCTTGATGGCCACACCTGATGTAAGCTCAATCAGCTGAGATGCTAAAGCTTCCATGGAAACGAGGGTGAATCCTAACGATGGAAAAGTAGCCCAAAGTTAAATACAGCAGATATCGTCTGATAGAGTAGCAATATTTGATGGCATTTTTGCAATAAGATCTTTCTCTAAACTGTGCAGCCCTATCTTTTGAGGAAAAAAGCTGCTTCAGCAAAAATAGTGATCATTCAGTAGTAGCTGTTCAGAAAAAAATAAGGCTCCTTTGTAATAATAGGACATCATTTCTCAGTTTTTATGTGCGTTGGAAGCTGCCCTTTAAAGTTTTCTCGATCTTACTTTTTGAAGTTGTATATCCTGCGGGAATTTATTTTTGAAAAAGAAATTGCTAGGGGAAAGTTGTAACAGTAAAACCAAATGGAAGCAAATTATAAAGACTGTTTAGTTTTTGGGAGGGTTTTTTGGGAGTTTTGGGGAGGTGCAAAGATAAAGAGAAGACAATGACTATAAAGAGAGAATAATTTATTTACCTGTTGGTTGTGGCTCAACATGCAATAGAGACACACAAACCAAGACATGCTCAGTTAAGGTAGGAAGAAAACATACAGAAAAAAACAAACCTGCCCCAGCTGTACACCTGACCCAGGTGGAGAAGACAGCAGAGAAATGCTGTAAAAGAGGCCACAAACTCACCTGATAGTCTGCTGTTCACAGCTCGCGACTTTATTTGGGGTCTGCTTCCCTTTCTCTCCTCTTTGGTGAAAACCAACACTGTGAATTATCTTCAGTTTCTTCCCCCAGTCAGTTCGTTTCATGATCTGTCAGATAAAAGGACCAAAAGGGGAAAAGCAATAATTAAGACACAGTTCTAAAGAACTAAGGTCAAGAAGCAACCTAGATTATAAAAAGATGGGCTTAATTCTAAGCCCTTGGTGTCCAGTTCATTTGTCCTGCATAAAAGAAGCTCTAGGTAGAAATAATTGTGATGGAAATTCTTTTTTTATTGAACTACATAACAGAAAAAAGAGCTAACATTCCTGCTCGCAAACCTTTACTGGTGGTCTACTGTAAAGAGCGGTCATATAATGAAACATAAATACTTAGGCATCGTATGACTACATAAAGTGTCATTTATAATTTGCCGAACTGTTTTGACTTGTTACTCTGTCAGATTCATCTTTCTTTTCTTCACTTAAACTGTGTTGACATGTGCAGTTTGGGCAATTTTCTCATGGCTGTAACTGCTTCGAAATAATTGACACGGTTTGTTTTGCGAGCGTGCGTGCGGGGTGGGCTTACAGTGCGCTGATGAAATTGCTAACAGCTGTGACAGCCGCCATTGAGCACAGAAACCCCCCTTTTCGTCATCTCATTTGTAGCGTACAGCTGCACAGATAAAGCACGAGGGTTAAGCAAATAATGCACAATAGCCAGAAAACAATGTCCCTCCTCTATCAGTCCCTCGCACACACTCGTTCCAAGTGCAAGCGCTGCTAAAAAAGAAAAAAATAGAGTACCAGCTGCAAGTGCAGAAAAATGAGTGGCACTGCTTGTCTTCCCTGTAACTGGGAGCAGTGTATACACCCCTGCTATCCTTCCATTCATTCAAATCTCTTTTTCTTAATGATAAACCCTCCTCGGTCACACTCTCTCCTTGCCTGCACCCCTCTAACCGCACCCCTCCAGTCTGGTGTCGACCCTTCAACAAGGCAGCAACAGTGCTCCTTTGTCTGTCCTCCTCCCCTCCTCTCTCTCCTTGCCCCCTCATCCTGCCCTGAGAGATGCTGGTTGGCGGGGACGGAGGCATGCCTCGACAGGAACGCCAGAGGAGAGGAAGGGAGGGAATGCAGCAGGAAAAATATAGGTGGAGGAAGGTCAGGGGGGAGGGGGTGGGTAGGGGTGTGTGGGTTGGTTAGGTGGGTGCGGGGGTCGGCAGTCAATTTCTGTCAGTATTTCTTTTTTCTACTTCTCTGCTATCTATTCAGACTGAGATGAGTGCAGCTCAAGAAGCGCTTGAAGGGGGGAAAAAAAATAAGGTGGGTTTCAAGTGACCGCACCCTAAGTGAACCCTTTGACGCCATGCTTACCATCACAAAAAGTGATTTCCAAAGGGGGAATAGCTGGTTTGGACAGAGAGCCTATTTTTAAATCTAAAGCAAAGTTGGAAAACACAAGGAAAAAAAAATATTCTCTTTGAAAACCAGCTCTGTTTATTGGGTTTTATGGTTAAAAAAAGATTTTTTTGCAGTTTTCCAATAGGGAATTCTTAAAAATAGCTACAAGTATATGATGTATAATTTCTCATTTATGCAAAGAAAATACCAGGACCAAACCCACCGAGGTTAGTCAGGACATAATTTTAGCAGATTCATTCTGGTACCACTGTGGGTCCTGCAAACCAAGGCCCCTAATAGCATAAATACTGCTCTTATAGTGGTGTCTGGGGAATGTCTCATTCGGTGGTGAGGGAGACAGAAAGGTAGAGCAGTACCTTTTTAGCAAAAACACATAAACACCGCGTCAAGTTAGAGGATATTGGATCATTAACCCGAACAAATCTACAAACATTGGATTTATGGTAAACACATTCCTAGCTTTATGGGAGGTGTGTCAAGCCATGTTATTACACTCTGAGCTTGAGGATAGAATATATATTATATCTATATCTATATATATGTGAGCCTCAAAGAACGTAGGGCCACATCCCTCAGTTTCGACGTGGCTCTGTGTGTGTGAGGGATATACCCCAGACAGTGAAAGATTGTGACAATTTCTGTGTTTGTGTGGCACGACTACAGTGATGCAGCTCTGCGCCTTGATCTAGACTCCTGCCTGCATGTGACACCCACTGCGCCTGCTTCATTAATCAATAGGACAGATGAAGACAGACTCCTGCTGCGCCGTGACGGAGAATGGTGGCTCGTATTTCCAACCATGTGTGTTTGTGCAAACACATAGACGCCAATGCCCCAGGGTAGAATGTGGCAGACATGATGCGAACCTTCAAGGCTTCCTGCCCACTCAGATCATCTGTATTGCATTTGCCTTCTTGTACCTCCAGAAGATGAAAACATCTTTGTTTATTTGATGTTTTGAATTCATTTGTGTTTTGCTACTGTATTAACCAAAATGTCCTGAAGCCCTGAATTCTTCAAAAAAAAAAAAAAAAAAGCTAGGATTTTACGCTTATGTTAAGGGCCTTTTTTCTGTTTATCTCCTATTGTCAAACTTTCTGAAGTCGCTTCAGTTTTGAATAAAAATTTCAATGAACGCAACATCAGAATCACAGCAATTAGGAGGCTTTAACTATTGTTCATCTTTTTTAATATGGCACATGCCTTGAAAAGAGGAATCAACTTCTTTCATTCTAGTTTTATCTGTGATTTCAAGCACAGACACACACACATAACAGTAATTGCGAATTCTTAGAAACACTTAGAAATACACACAAAACTCCTGGTGTGTTTATCCCAATTCCTTTTTTTAAACCCTAGCTAAAAAGAGAAAGTGCCTTAAGGGTATACTGAGAAAACTTTTGTATACATAAGTCTATTATACCTCACTGTACAGTCAGACCATCTGAAAATTACATCGAATCTTAAAATAAACTTCCCCTTTCATGTGAGACCAAAGAAAAAAAAAAAAAAAAACCTCATAATTTAGGTTTTGACATATTTTGGTTCCTTTAGAACTGTTGCAACAACAGAATCCCAGTTATATTCATAGTAATGTGTGAGAACAAATACAGAAGTGGAGTAACTTCCAATTATTATTTCAACTACCGGTATACTATGTAAAACGTTTGTAGTCCAACAAACATCATAAATATTAAACCTGTACTGCAAGTTTCATCTTTACCTTCATTAAAGCAACAAATCAGGAAGCATTTTACTGATGCAATCTGATAGATTAATGCTTTCAATCATGTGTTTTTGTGAGCTCAAACAAAAAAATATTTTTATTAAAAAAGCTGTACTGAGAAAACAGATTTTGGGATGAAGAAAAATGAAAGAATGTAGATCAGGGAGGATTAGAGGACCACTTTGACGTAATTTAGTGCGACCCTTCTCCCTCCTCATGCTGCGCACTGCCAGTCAGCTGACACAGTTAAGACTCCTATATTTTCCTCCAGCTTACCATAAAGATTGGTTTAGCTTTTTGGAAACACTCATAGTTGCGGTTAGTCATCCACCATTTTTATTAAAGCAACTACAGTCATGTAAAGACTTGTTTCTGTTTTACACTTTAATATAAAATACCACAATAAAGGTATATTTAGTCACTGATATGATACTGCAAGAATCTCCTAAACAGGAAATGCCAATGTAGTGTATCTGTTTATCAATCGTTAAAAAAAAAAAAATCACAGAACACAAGCTGTTTTCAAAGAAAATACTATAATTTACATTACATTGTATAATGGAAACACAAGTTATCCAATAATAAACCATACTTTCATCTTCATGACACACCCTACTGCATTTGGTCTTTAGTATTCTTAAGAAAATAAAAGACAAAACAATGCAACACCAACATATAAATAATTAACTGAATATGTTCCATGAAAGTTTGATTTGCATTAAAGTATATTCTGGTAACTGGGCAAGAGGAATGTGTGTAATTTCCTGGAGCTCTAAATGATTTGAATTCAAAGCCACTGAGGCCATTTTCTTCCACAGAAGCTAAATCTTGCAGAACGGTTATCAGTCATTGAGGTTTTTTGCCTCCTGCATGTACTGCTAGACCGTTTTGTGTGCATTCAGTGTAACTTGTGATACTTGGCCAGAACTCAGTGCCCTCTTTGTTACCCATTGTGCAGTGATGAATGAATCTTTCTTTCAAATTTCATACAGAGTTGCTCTGTGTAGAACCATAGAGACTCTTCTGAGACTGCTGTGCAAATGACCTGTGTGACCACCTAAAAAAGTAATATTAACTGACGTAAACTTACTAATAGCAGTTGAATTAAAGTAAAAGAAATAGAGCATTATCTAGTTTTCTGCAATATTAAGTAAAACTTGATTAGTGATAAAAGTTTCATCTGCTCTTGTATTTCTTGATATATTTTTGTTTTTATACAAGATAGATTAAAATTAGTTAGAAGACCTTGGTTCATTTTTTTCAATCATTTTTGTCAGGTTCAAAACAAATTTAGGCTCAGAAATGCATTTGTTTGATTTATTCAAGAAACTATTAAGTAGCTTGATGGATCCCCGACTGGCAATAATGCATTAGCTGTAAATATGTGACAGCAAATCATTTTGGTTTATTGATGAGAACCTCTTCTGCCTCTGTGATGGATTTTCTCTTTTATAAGAGCCGAGCATCGCTGCAACATTACATAGAATTTGTTGATTTTTAGTGACTCATATCAAAAGCCTTTGTTTACTCTTTGGAAAATTCATATGGTAACAATATTCTGAGAATACATTTCTTGTGTATTTCTAATGGATTTTACTAATGAACCACAATATAGAAATGACAAATGCGATGCCACTCTTGCCTTTAAACTAATAAATAGAAATAGTTTACAAAAATAATATTTTTATCATTTCTACATGTAAACAAGCAATATTTCTTGAATAGCGATTTCTGTGTGTATACAAAAAAAAAATCCTGTTGTTGGTTCTTAAGCCAAGGTGCCCTGATTAGATAGGCACATTGTGTGTTTTGACATTGTTGGCCTGACATTCAGACAAAGGGGACCAATGTAGGACTCAAGAGGGCAGATGACAAACACTCCTAAACCATAGCCAGACATAATCCCCCCCTCCACCTCCTATCAAAACCCCACAACAAACATGGGGAGGAGGTGGAC